GTGTGTGTGTGTGTGTGTGTGTGTGTGTGTGTGTGTGTGTGTGTGTGTGTGTGTGTGTGTGTGTGTCAAGAGGTGTCGTCATGTGATCAGCTGAGGTTCTCAGTTCAGTTTCGTTCATCTCATCATTGAGCTGCAGACACACATCGGGTGAGTTTTTACTGTTTTTCACTGAATTTTAATCTCATTTATAAACTTTAAATTTAAACAAATTAGTTTTTAAATCTAATCTGAGCTTTGAATGAAGCCTCTGTCTCACACAACATATCACACAGCGCTCACTGAGTTGTCTTTATTTAACTTCATACTGCGGACAGGCTTTTATTCTGAAGGCACATAAACAGTAAATTATTTTTTTATTTTTTTTATTTTTTTATTTGGAAAGTCTTTTATTGTAAATATTTTTGCAGATTGAGGTTTAAATTTAGTGAGAGTTTAGTCTGTGGGTGTGGTGACAGACCAGCAGCTGACACTGAACCATGTTCATCTCATATGTTTCAAAGTAAAAGACACTTCAGCAGCTGGACATCCTCAAATCTGATTATTTATAATTGGAGCAAAAATCAAGCTTAATCTTTTTGAAATTGTGAGTTGTGTCAACAAAAAATATATTTTCTTTTATGGGTTTTTAAAAAAAAAATTAATTAAAAAACAAACCAAATACTTATGGAAAAAATAACAATACACATTCAAGAGAAAACTTTAAAGTATTTATTCTAATTTTTGATTTTTACTTTATTTTGTTTATTATTTTACAGCAGGGGTGCCAGCAGCTTTATAGCTTCTAAAATGATCAGGTCCAAATGATCTGCCTACTTTAAAAAATGCTCAATACATAGTTATACATATATTTAATTAAACAATATATGTCATGTGATCTGCCCATGATACCTTTGTGAGCTGCGGGTGGATCGACAGACTCGGAGGTGTTTGTGGATTTATTATCATTGTTTTTCTAATAATTATATTTTTTCATATCAGTTTGATGATGTTGATGTTCTTTTGCTTCAAAGTATTTCTAAATTTATGTTTAAATATTAAAGACTTACTGTGGCTGGCCAGGCAAAATATTTTACTTCTGATATATTATAGCTTATAGCTTATATATATTGGGGGTTTTCCTGAAAAAATATGTTGCTTTAAAATATTTCCAGCTTTTTGCTTTAATAGGAATTTACTATTTATTTATTAACATATCTTTTTCAAATTTCTCATTATATTGAATTATAAAACCTTCATTTTGTTTGTCTAAAATGTGTTATCACAAAATCTGGTTCTAAAGATTTGTTAAGTGAAAAGTTTTTTTAATCTGAAAACTTTTGTCTTTTTCATGCTTTTATTATCAAAGTATTATATATGCACTATATTTTTCTAAAATATTTTATTCATTATCTCAAGTATTTCTAGAATATCCTTACATTTTAACAAGTTATACAACTTAAAAAAAAGAAAACCTTGTTACTAAAAGCAGAGGACCAACAACGAAACCCTGAAGAACAACTGCCACCTCATATGACTGTTTGATTGATTGTTTTTTTGATTGATTGAGTGATTCCTTTAGTGTCATGGAGCATAAGCTGGATCTTTCCCGTCTAACGGATGAAGAGGCCAAACATGTTTGGGAAGTGATTCAACGAGATTTCAACCTCCGCAAGAAAGAAGAAGAGAGACTCAGGTACTCGTTCCCACACTCAGAGTTTTCATGTACAAATATCAGAAACATTACTAAAGTTTCAGGGTGTTTTTCAAACTGAAGCTGAAATATCAGCATTAATAATAGCACACAGAAAATTCTTGCTGCAGAAATACAACAAAATAAATAAAAAAATGCTTTGAAGCTTCTACACATTTTAATGGAAGTTTGAATATTGTTTGTATTCAGTGTTATTAAAAATTGGGCAAAAAACGGGCAAATCAAAAATCAATCAATGTACAAAGAATCAGAGAGTGAATTAAGTCCTTTTTAAAACTGATTAAGCATCAAATATGTTGTCAGGTCAGTGAAACAAAAGTAAACACAGTAAAAACAAACAAACTGAAATGATCTTCAGACATTCCCTCAGTGAATTTTGAGCTGTTTTTGGCATGCTTTCCTCTCAAAGGTGCTATTTTTAAGTCTTGGATCAGGGGACTCCAGGCCTCGAGGGCCAGTGTCCTGCAGGTTTTAGATCTCACCCTGGGTCAACACACCTAAATCAAATGATTAGTTCATTAACAGGCTTCTGGAGAACCCCAAGACATGTTGAGGAGGTCATTTAGCTATTTAAATCAGCTGTGTTGGATCAAGGACACATCTAAAACCTGCAGGACACCGGCCCTCGAGGCCTGGAGTCCACTACCTGTATCTTAGATAAACCCCAGACTTTCCCAGACTTTCTCTCTGTGACTCTGAAGCTAAACTTTGTGTGAGTCCTGGAGTTTGAACTGTTTTCGTTCATGTGAAGTTTGCAGGAATTCCAGCGTGAAAGACGTTGTTGTTGTTGCACTCGATCACGCCCCGGTCACACGGAGTTGCCTCACAAAGACGCTCTGTGTCTCCTCCAAACACTCCAACTCCCATCAGCCCCCGGGGAGAGGGAGAAGCCTCACAGGGACTCATGACTGGAGAGAAATCATCAGGAACATGTTGTCATCTTCATCCTTTAACAAGCATACAAAACAAAGCGAGAAATCAATAAAAACTGATCAGAATTCAACATTTAAAACTATGAAAGAAGCCAAAATGAAATCTGTAAGAAGACTTTTCTTATACTGTGGACTGATGAACTGGACAGGTGAGGAGTTCAGACTCTTGGGAGGGATTTGGACTAGAGTTCAAAAGGAGCACACTGCCAGCTCCTACCAGGAGGAGCAGGCCTGATGTAGATCCGGGACAGCAGGAGAGATTAGATCCTTGGGCTGGCCTGGGAAGGCTTCTGTGTTACTCCAGATAAGCTAGTGGTTGGTGGTTGCAGAGAGGGAGGTCTCTCTCCATTCCTGTCCCTGTGACCCATTGCCAGATAAACAGATCTGACTTGCAGTTGTGGTCATCGCATACTCTGAAGGTTTTTGTGGCTCAGCCCCTCCATGGTTTTCAGTCTGAGGCTGGTGGGCCTCCATGTGGACATTACTAAAGGGATGGATCACAAGAAGCAGGGAGAACACACGATTCATTCAGAGCCAATTATTGAGGGGCTGTGGGTGAGTCACAGATTGGTCATTTATCTTCTTTATGACTGCTGTTCCCTCTCTTCTCTGTGAAAATGTAAAGAACCGAAGTCTCACGTTGGTTTTTTTTATCAGTTTAATAATTAATACTTTCATCCAACAGTCCATGGTAGCTCCATCTCCAGAGGGAATCAGCTCCTTGGTTCTGGTTCGTCTTCCTTTGTTTTTTATTCTACCTGTCAGCGAGGTTCAAGGTTTCTATAAGATCACCTGGAGTGGAATTTGAGTTGTTGTTTGCACCTTGTGATCTGGACCTTTGGATATTTGGCATCAGCCGACCTTTCCCGTTTTTGTGGAGCATGCTGCTGAGGTTTGATCCTTTGGTGCTTTACTCTGATCACGAGCCTGACTGAATAAAGATAGGCACAAACCAAACATAGCCAAACATCTCAAAAACAGATTTACCTACTCTTTGTCCTGGAAAGCAAATCCATCACCACACTGTTCTTGAGAAATGAAATGTCAATGCCTTTGTTTCTAGTGTTTGATCTTCCAGATCTTCATCATCAGGTCTTCCTTCAGATCCTCAAAATTCCTCAAAATTCCTGTTATGGTTTTAGTCGTTTGTGCATTCCTTGGATTGGTCAGAGTGTTCTAATTTTATGAAATCTATGTTCATTTGTTATATTTGTTTAGGGAGCTGGAGCTATTTTTGGTGAAGTTTCCAAACCTCAAGGTCTCTACTCCATGATAAACTCGGGGACTATCTTTTCATGTCTTTTGCAGTGAGCTGAAGAATAAAATTGAGAAGGAGGACTCAAAACGAGAGCTGCTGGGCTCTCAGAGCAACTTATCCGACTCGCTTTGTATCCGCTGCCTGCAGCCCTTCAAGTTCCTGGTCAACAGCAAACGCCAGTGTCTGGACTGTCACATGTACACCTGCAAGTCCTGCAGCCGCTACAACAAGAAGGAGCACGGCTGGGTGTGCGACAACTGCCGCATGAACAGGTGAGCCTCCGGCAGCGGAGAGCACTGCGTCAGCATAAGCTCAGAGTTATTTGGTGGTCATGGTAGTTTCTTTTATGGTAGATGTTTATTATATTCTCTATATTCTGCACTTGTGTTGTTCAGGGTGCTCAAGATCGGGACTCTGGGCTGGTACCATGACAACGTGAGAAACCGTTTCAAACGCTTTGGTAGTGCCAAAGTGATGAGGTCATTGTACAAGAGGCTGAACGGAGAAGGTGCGTTTGCCTTATGTTAAATAATTCAGAGATAATGAGTCAACTGTGAGCTTTTTAGGGTTTTATTGAAGTTACACGCTAACAGACAACTTGTGTTGGTGCTTCAGGTGGGCGTGATGATGACACGCAGAGTATGCCGGATGTCCACAGTCGTGAGTTTCTTAAATGTTTTACTATTAATAGATTTCAATTGGAAATTTTCTTCCCATTTACCATGCTATTTATATGTTACTGTCAAATGTTCCTGGTAATTAGGGTTAGGGGTTAGTATGTAATGTAAATATGTAAGAAAAATTGTGTATGTTTCTTTTCCGTGTCCTGTGTACTGTTTGTTTGTATATTTGTCTTTTTGGCTGCTGTTACAACCAAATTTCCCCTTGTGGGACAATTAAAGGATTATTCTATTCTATTCTATTCTAATTATGGGCAAAGGTTCAAATTAATTATGTAAAGGTAACAGCTGCTGGTCCAAAGCTAAGACTCACCAAACATCACCGGGACTTAGCCAATCAAAAGAACATCCGCTCAAAGGCTTAGAGTAGAGAGTAGAGTACCAGAAAGTACAACGACTACCAGAAAATTAGAGGTCATCCAGGTCTTTAAGACATTCCTGCAGTTTAACAACCGTATTTTCCGCACTATAAGGGGCACTTAAAATCGTTTATTTTCTCAACAATCAACAGTGTGCCTTATAATCCGGCGCACCTTATATATGAATTCTGGTTGTGCTTACTGACCTCAAACCCATTTTATGTGGTACACAGCACTCAAAAATCTGTCAAAAGTGTTTTAGTGGCGATCGTGGCTCAAGAGTTGGGAGTTCGCCTTGTAATCAGAAGGTTGCCAGTTGGAGCCCCGGCTTGGACAGTCTCGGTCGTTGTGTCCTTGGGGACACTACACCTGTTGCCTACTGGTGGTAGTCAGAGGGCCCGGTGGCGCCAGTGTCCGGCAGCCTCGCCGGGTGGATGACTGCTTGTGTAAAGCGCTTTGGGGTCCTTAGGGACTAGTAAAGTGCTATACAAATACAGGCCATTTTAGTATGACTTTGGTAAGCTACGAAGCCACACCGCTTGATGTATTACAGCTACAGTAGTCAGGAGCCTCACGGGGTAATCTGGGTCCAAAACTACGGTAACTGGTGTGTTTTATCTGGCTTATAGATAATGTTGTGTGTGATCTGCATAGCAGTGAAAATTAGAGATGGACCGATCCGATATTACGTATCGGTATCGGTCCGATACTGACCTAAATTACTGGATCGGATATCGGAGAAAAATAAAAAATGTAATCCGATCCATTAAATATCACGAAAGCACCTCACA